TCTGTCTGTCTGTCTGTCTGTCTATCTGTCTGTCTGTCCATCTGTCCATCTGTCCATCTGTTTGTCTGTCTGTCTGTCTATCTGTCTGTCTGTCCATCTGTCCATCTGTCCATCTGTTTGTCTGTCTGTCTGTCTATCTGTCTGTCTGTCCATCTGTCTATCTGTCTGTCTGTCTATCTGTTTGTCTGTCCATCTGTCTATCTGTCTGTCTGTCTATCTGTTTGTCTGTCCATCTGTCTATCTGTCTGTCTGTCCATCTGTCCATCTGTTTGTCTGTCTGTCTACCTATGTATCTATCAATCTTTAATTAGTGGCTTGTAATTTTTTTCAGCATCCTGTTCCTATTTTAAAAGAAATGTAAAGTATAAATAAAGGAAGAGATGTTGTGACCTTTTCGTGTACATGTCTTAGTCACGTTTCCCTTATGTTATAAGTCAAAATCTAAATCAGATCAAATTGAGAGAAGTAGGTTTGCCTTTTTCGTCTTTTTTTTTGTCTAATTTAAGGTTAAAACTACTAATTGTTTTGTTACATTCTATTTACTTACCGAAAAGGCATTTATATGTCAGTGTTTCAATCAGCCTGGCTACGTTGCCATAATACCTAAATACCTGATGCCTAATAATAGAGACAAGGGAATCTCCATGGAGTGAGATCAATAATGTCTTGTCTTGTCTCGTAAACTATGCTAACGTATAGTCTACAGCATTTGCTCTGGACTGATAAAGGAACAGAAAAAGTTATTTGGACGTTGACGAGATCTATCTCTAACCTGGGTTGTACTTTTGCCTCCCCTTCTGGGGTGGAAGGTTGTAGGATAGATTCTAGACCAGGCATCGGCAAACTAAAGTGCGGGTGCCAGATGCGGACCATTCCGCTTTTTAATCTGGCCCACCAAACCTTTTCCATATGATACAATTCATTTATATTATTATTATTATTATACTTTTCCCCGCAATACCCACGTTTCCCCAATAGATGGCGTAGAAAATGATAAAAGCCTTTTAGCCTTTCTGCATGACTTTCACATGTCATTTATCTTAGTTCACACAAACGCTCCATCTATCTGCTCCTTAAGGTCTTTTTTTGAGAGTTTTGTTCTAACGGTATTGAACGAGAAGGAAAATCACATAGTTGAAAAAAAAAACAAGGACAAAAATAAAGATGACTAGGTGTTTTTTCCACTTGTTTTCCAATGGCAACGGTTCTCCAAGGATCACCAAAAATCTCATGCGACTATGAACTCACCAATAGATGTAAAATGCCTCAATATTTAATATCAGCTGAACTCTCGAGTAACAAGAGATTTTCTTTTGTTGTGCTACGTAAACATTGACAAAATAATTGACGTCGAACGCCGGTCCATGAAAATCCAAAGGTTGCGTTTCTCCTATTGTCTTTTATCTATTTGTCCTCATAAATGTCACCTACTTAAGTTAAGTGAATTGTCTTTTTCCTGGGTTTTGAGGTGCTCTGGTGCCCCTCAGGGAAGACACGCCTCACACTTCGAAAACCTTTAATCTCGGGATCAGCCTTCATCCGGTAAATACTGTAAAATACTGCCTGCTACCCAAGCATTAACATGCTGCTAACATGCCATAAAGAACGGCACCATGTACGTGCACTGAATTAGTGCTAGAAAGTCAAATGCTAACATGCTAAATGCCTTTGCGGCGGGCTTTCTCTATATCCAAGTAGATGATTTTGAACCAATTTATAGAATTTGACTGTCATAAAAAAAATCACCCACATATTTGAATCTTCAAACAGGGCTTTCAAACAAAGACAGAATGCCATAGCTACGTATGTCTGCACATTTCTTCATGTTACAAAAGTTGAAAGAAAGACATTTACATTTTTAATCAAGAAGAAAATATTGAATATTTGAATGTTAATTGTTAACAAATAAAGTGATACAGAGCTGTAAAGTATCATTACAGTATTGTATACATCGGCATATCAATATTTTCTTACACCCCTACTAACCTCGTATAGCATTTCCTATATCGTACATCAGTGTTTCGCAAACTTTTTTTCTAGGGACCCGTAGTTCAAAAGTCACAAACCTTCGCGCCCCAAGTCAACAGACATTATTCGTAAACTCCTGGGAAACATGATGCGAGACGACCCCCCAAAAAATCTCTTGCGACCCACCTGAGGGTCGCGACCCAGACTTTGGGAAACAATGTCGTATAAAATCATTTCATATTTCGTATAACATTTTGTCTCAGTTAAAAACTAGGCATCATTTGCAATGTTAATATTAACCCTGTAAGCATGTTAGCATTTATCTTAATTCCATAGTGTTTCCAGTGACGTTGGCAAATGTAAAAATATTAACTAGATTCTTTTTTTTATGTATATAATTTATATTTGGGGTTTTTTTTTTCTTTTTTAAGGAGAAGACATTCTGATGATAATCTCTCTTCTGTCTCTTTTTGACACACACAGACAAAACTTTTCATTAAATCAGAGTCCAGTTAAAGGAGAGTCCCATATGCTAATTTCAAATCTGCATCGCTGGTTATTTAGATTAATATAAACTTAGGCCTGAACAACTGAAAAGTCAAAGGTTTTGCTCACAGTCCAGCCCCGTTTAATTTTAACACTAAAAACAAGTAGACGGTGTGAAACTAGATATTCAATCCTTTTTTTTTGTTGTTGTTGTTTTGTAACAGACTTCATAATCTCCCTACACCACCGGGAGATGGTACAGTCCACCCTTCCCCCTTCCTCACTTCCTCCCCCTCTTATTGAGTAGAATGAATGAAAGAGAGAGAGAGAATATGGGCAGATAGAGAGAGCTAGAGTCAGAGTGGCGCCCCAAGCAGAGACCTTGCAGCAACACATTCCTCTGAAGCAGGTTTATTTGACCAGTTAGTGCTGGTTGAGCTGCAGCCAGGCCTGCGGACTGGTCAACGCTGGGGGAAAAAAGAAAAAAAAAAAAAAAAAATCATTCGAATCAGTCAAGAAGAAGCAGGGATGAAGCTACTGCTGCTGCTCCTGCTCCTGGAGCAAGCTGTGGCTCAGCAGAGAGGTGAGAAACTTTTTGAATTGTTTTACTCACTTGTCTCCGGCCTCTTTTTTTTTTTTTTTTGTACCACTGGACCCACCAACAGGCTGGAAGACAGAATGTGACCTGCTTTTTTTTTTAAATCCTAAATCTTTTCACATGTCTAAGTGATGATTGTTTTGTTGTATCCTTCCTCAGGAAACCAGTCAAATTAATTACAGATTTGAGAAATACAACCTGAGGTTTCAGGCCTGTTAGCACAGTTAGCACAGCGATGGGTATGTTTTACTTTCTTTTGAGTTAAATTTGACTCGCGGAATTAAAGTTAAAATCAGTTAAAAACACACACTTTGTTAGAGGGATGCATGCTTGTCCAGAGTCAGTTTTCAAACAGGAAAAGGTAAAGACTAATCCGGTTTAAAACGACACAAAAAAAAACCAAACAAATATATTTAGTTGGTGTTTCATTTTAATCACGGTTCGGTATAATCGCTGAATCGTCAGCATATTTATGAGAAGACCCACGGAGAGGACTGGCGTGGTGTGTGTGTGATGATTAGAGTTAACAGTCACACGCCGCCTTCTTCCTCTACACCCACCATAAAACCCTCCCCCAAATTACCATGTTCACACAGTGTTTTTGTTTGTTTGTGTGTGTGTCTGTGTATACAGGTGTGAAATCTGACGCAACGCTGACTTGACTTTTTCTTTCATTCATTACGACATTATGACTGCTGCTGCTGCTGCTGCTGCAAAAAAAAAAAAAAATTGCCTAGAAATAGTTGCCAACTATCTGCTTGTTATCTAAGAATGTTAATGTGTAACTTTAAGAGAGAAAAAAAAAGTGTTCAAACTTCACAGTTGGTCACAAAAGACAAAAGACAAACCGATTCCGACCCTGATAAAGTCCGCATTTGATTCCCTACAGTGTCACGTGAGTGAAAGGCCAAATAACACTTAGGAGAAGACAGACCCAGACAGCAGGACCACCAACTGATGTTATCACATCTAGTCATTAACATCTGACTGGTGGATTGATTGATTGATCAGCATGAGTCTGTGTGTGGTCTAGGCAAGCTGCTTGTGGGGACATTTCTTGGTCACATTATTTCTTGCATGGACCATTTGTCCTTGCGGGGGGGGGGGGGGGGGGTTTTTAAGGTCCTCGTTAGAAGAGAATGAATTTGAAAGAGTTAAACTGGACTTTAACTGGGGATAAGTGAAGTTTCCACAGTATGTCACAATGTCAGAGAGACATTCTATTAGTACAGTCAGTGTAATGGTATGCGGTTATAGTTGTACGTTTATATATATTTTTTTTACTTGTTGCGAATGGCCCTGAAGAGATAGAAATGATTTTATTGGAACACCTTCGCTTTGTTCAAGGCTAGGGCAAACCTCAGACAAAACAATTTGCTGTTTTGAAGTTTGAAGTGTGACCTCGCTCTTCACAGTCAAACTCTACTTTTTTTTTTTTTTTTTTAAAGAGTTGTGCATGTCTAAATGTAGTTATATAGAGGACTGGCAGTCCAACCTCAGTCCAGGACCTTAACTACATTCAATCCATTTCTGATAGATTAAATCCAATATTATTTACAGAGCACGTTTCATACAGAAGGCAAACTCTATGTGCTTTACAGTGGTTCAAAACCATTAAATATCAAGAGAGAAACGCCAACATATGTTTTATATATATATACATATATGTATATATATATA